CCCCCTCTCCTTCACGGCCTCTATCTCCACTCCCATTACAGTACCTTTTTTCGCTCCTTTTCAAGAATTTTCCAGATTTTACCGGAGAGGCAGGTGAAAAGCGGCTGCGGTCGGAGTGCACGTGGGTGAGGTGCAGGCAGGCTGAGGGTGGGGGTCGTCGCATTGCTGTGCGATTTCGTCATCGTTGTTGTTCTGGATGCTTCTGGGTTCTTCGCTGCTGCGTGTCCAGAAATCGACGCGGCTTGCACTATATAAGCAGGTCGGCATTGGCTTTGTGCTTCTGCAATTTTGCATCACGGTCCAGCTCTTTTCTTCGTTCTGTTCGGTCGCATTTGTGCCACTGCTGCTGCTGCTACTGCTCGCCCGGTTCCGACATTAAGCGCTGATCGGGCTGGGTCCCTTCTTGCCCCCTCTCCCTGCTCCTTCCTTTTTTGTGCCTCACTCAAAATTCTTATTTTCAAGCGTTCCGTGCTCCTTAAAATCGCCATATGCACAGCATTTTAGCGTATTGTAATTTTAATTTTAGATGATGTGTATTTGTGTAAAAAGTAAGATTTAAAAAGGAATAAAAGAGGGTGAATAAGATAAATCGAATTAAAAAACCTGAAGGAATGTTTTCGGTCCTTTAAGTTGCATACATTCCTGTTCAGTGCTGCAACTGGACCTCGTCAGTGTGACGGTTGCAGCAAAATGAACATGCAAAGTGTCAAAAGGAAAAAAGGGGAATTTTGAAAATGTAAAAAAGTTAGAGCAAAAGGTAAAAGTGCATTTAGGAAAAATGCCGTGCGCCCCGGGATTAACTGCGGTGCTTTGCTGCATGAGTTTTCTGTCCTGCTCGGGGAAGCATTAGCGTGTGCGCAGCGTGCTCTGCACTTTGCGGCAGCTACAGGCGGCCTGAGGATCTGTACTGTTGGGTCGCTGCACTTGACGACCAATGCTTTTGCAGGCCTAAATCGAAGTCGCGTTGCACGTGATGTTGCGTGTGCTGGGCAGTGGCAGTGTACGTCAGGCACTTCGTGCCGCACGTGTTGCCGCCTCAAATGTTGGCGTTGAAAGAAGCTACTTCTGGGGTCCGAGATATCCACTGTCCACGGTATTTCGAAGCATCGACCGACAGCTGCAGGAGCTCGAACGACAGTTCGACCGGGTCTTCTGTATGGCTTGTTTTATTACTCAGTTCTTTACAGACATTGTCCTAGCACGACATGCAACGATAGCTCCTCGTGAACCGCCTGATTTCCCGTCAACCTCTTTCGCTTGCCGATTTTTCCAGTCCGATTCGGATGCGGATCAAATCCATACATTGTATGCTGTAACCCGTCTCTCTACTGAAGAATGCCACGCCAAGATCAATTCATTTGGCGTCAGATTCAGACGCACGCAGCCCGGATGGGTGATTGCAACAGGAAATCTAGATAAGTTAATTGGCCAACGCACCGACTGCCGGTACGAAGATGCGGTTTTTACGCAGTTGTTCTCAGGTTTTTGTCACTAGCGGCACTGTTTCTTTTTCTGGCCGATGCTTCTGAATAAAAGAATTAAGACTGGCCATCACGACTGCTGGGAAATATCCCCTTCGGATTTCAGCTTTCTAGCTTTTCTGGTTCCCGAGTTAGCAGCTTATTTGCCAAAAACTATCACGGGCCCGTATATGGAAATTGCGTGGGCATCAGCGCTACATTTTGGGTGTAGGGACCCGTACATGCATGTAGATTAAGTTCCTAAAGTTTCAGCCTTTTAGCTTTTGCAGGTTTTAAGATGAGAAATCGTTACAGATGAACACACAGGCACACACGCAGGCAACCCCTCGGCAGTATACGTTTTTGCACTATATAGATGCGGAAAAACGCATAACCAGGCTGGAATGCACCAGGCGAGCCGGTGCGATCATGCGTTTTTGCACCAGACTTGAAATAATTAGGTTAACTGCATGAGTGGCTGTTTCTTCACACCCACCCTGTGCTCTCAATACCGTAACTCATCGTAAATTTTTCATAAAAAAAATAAACAATATACGTTTGGCGGCCGTTTTTTGAAAATGACCCAGCCGTTCAATTAGTAATTTCCCGCCAAAAATTTAAGCGCCCGTGCACGAGGATCACGCACGCCTGGGGGCTGAATTCGGTAACTTTAAGTCGTAAGTGGATTGGGAACATTCCCTGAAAGTTTCAGCTCTGGGAAAGGGATACCGTAGTGTTTTGTGCAGGATAGGGACAGCGTTGTTCCCCTTAGAACAGCCATGGCACCCGCCTCCTAAGAACAGCTGCGTAATCCACATCTCGGAAC